TGGAGTTAAGGCTAAGATAAAGTGATTTGCATCGTTAGGCCGACTCATCTGATCACATGAAAGGTCTTGAAATCACATCAATCGACCTGGAGTCCTTTTATTTCTGAATGCTAACTTTGTAAACTACCACTTTTTCTTCAATCATTCATTCCCTTTTCCCTCTTATCTACCCTCCAACAAATCTATTCACGCACACATTTTTAAATCTTTCTCTACATTTTTGCCTGTGCACACTTGCTCTGATACCGACTTTTTAGCTGCCCCACCAGCTCTTCATGTTCCCATTCGCACGCGTAAATTCATTGTTCCCGACAAGTCTGGCCAGTCGCAAATAAGCGAAACTCCGCTGCACAACGCCTTGACGTCAAATGTTGATTGTGAGCCCCAGTCACACTCGATGGACGTCCTCTGCTCTCATACCGACACCTGCATCCACACCCATCCCAAGGCCAATTTCACTTCGCCGGCCCTCGCACAAACCAGTTTATGCCAGTCATGTGTGCCGTCGATTCGCCAGTACCCTCAACTCCAACATGAGGCCATACAGTTCCACCGGCCAGCGCATCAATGCTGCCCACGCGACGAGGACAGTGGCCGCTACCAGCACCGATGGGCGACCGAGATGCGTACAGCATCCGCCACTGGTGCCTCGGACGCCTGCACCAAAGTGGGCGCCATCGAGACGACATCACTTTCTCCCTCGGCAACACATGCCGCTCGGACGAAGGCTTCCACACTGCTCATCAGGTCGCCCGTAGCCCTTGACATCTTTCAACCTTTCGACAGGCCTGAGGCGACACCGTCAGACGGTAGCGTGTCGACAACCCCGGCCTGGCAACATGTCGGCCAACAGACAGACCCAATCAGACCGCCCAAAAGGGAGCCGCTTGACGCGGACTGGCCCCGCACCGCGACGAAGGCCCAAAGTCCGTCGGGCCGTCCGAAAGTCGGAAACCGAGGCCACCGACAAGACGTGTCGTCTTGCTTGATTTCAGAAAGTTGGGGCCGTCAGCCGGTGCTAGCCAACGCTATGGCCTCGGGCAACATTGCAGCTGAGATGTCCCATTGCTCGGCCAATGCGGCTGCAGCCAGCCAAGAAAAGCTGACAACGCCCAGATGGAAGGTAGATTTGTGCGAAAAAGAGAACGCTTCTACTCGTGACTGAACAGTAGGCATGTAGGGCCTGGGTATATTGGCTCTTGTGTTGCGGTCAAGTAGGTATTAAATAGATTAAAGCTAGGTTTCGAGGGCTCCCTTAACAATTTATTGCTCATGTGTAGGAGGGATTTGCCGATTGGCTTCGTAGAAAACCGAAGGATTATGAGATGTATTCACACTATTTCATTTAAGCCGATGAAGGAATTGTAGTATAATGTCCCCACAATCATATGAGTAGAGCTGACGTTTCCATTGAATTTCACATAGCCTTGTTTTCCAAAAGTTGTTCTCATCCAGACACCAGTGAACTGCAGTTTAGACCTCGCAACGGTGCTATAAACAACCCCAGCGTGAGTCGAACCGTCCTCATATGAGTCCTCATATCACATTCTGTGGTGCTGGTGTAAAATTATATTTGCTATGGCAATTGCCTACATTACTTATTCTTCGTTTATAAGTAGGTTTGCTCACCTTAAATGAAATAGGGTGAACACATATCATATATCTATCTAAGCTAATGAAAGTCTCGAAGACCTGCGTATAAACGAAAAATATGGAATATAGTAGATTTCTACATAAAGAGTAAATGGGATTTGATGAATCTTCTGAGATAACATTATTGCTGAGACTTTCATTTCGTATGAAAGTGTATCAACAAGGGATTTGAAGGTCGATCTCAATAGAAGAGGACGGTTGAAGCTCGTTGTACTGCAGTCGTTTGGCTTTCATACGACGATTAAATTGATGTAATCCACGAGGTCTCCCTCTTTTCAGGTGAAAATGGGCTGAGCTTTCGTCCATCATATGTTACCCACGTTAACACTTGTCTTAGTGTTAACTTGATAATTTTACAGGAATCAGTCCCAGCTCTGATGATGTCCATCATATGATGGACGAAAGCTCATCCCGTCTTCACCTGAAAACAGGGAGGTCTCATCGTCATATAAAAGCCAAACGGCTGCGATACAACGGGATTCAACCGTCCTCTTCTAATGAGATCGACCTTCAAATTTCTTGTTCATTCACTTTCATACGAAATGAAGTCCCAACAATAGCTTTGTTTTATCGGCAATCCCACCACAGAATGCTATATGAAAAAATGCTTGATCTTCCTTCAAATTCATATCTGACCTGTGATTTAAGAGCACTCTTGACAACGTGACGTAGTTGTTAACGTGTCGAGATTATACGCTGCACTATCATGCTTCGAGTCCCGCTAGGGATGTTGGTGAGACTCGTTCAGGCGAGGTCAAAACCCCAGTCTACTCTGGATGGGAAACAAGTCTATGTGAGATTCAGTGGAGTCGTAAGGTCTACTCATCTGATTGTGGAAAGATTTAACTATCAGTCCTTCCTCACCTCAAACGAAATAAATTTAACACACCTCATCAACCGGTGGATTGCTTTGGAGGAGATGGAGACTGTTGAAGTGTCGGCATAAGTTCTTGACTCATTCTTCTCTAACCCCGATCAGTCCACTCTATAGAACATTTCGAGTAAGCCATGATGCATGCATATTTACTGTCTCTCGGCTTTTAATTTCGATTGGATCGACGGTTGAAAGGGATTCTTGAATTGGTCCCATCGGATTACCTTTTAGTGGAGAATATTGGATTATAGAAAATATATGAAGACCAAGATTTTCTGGCCTCTGGTATGTTCGCAGTCTCCTTTCGATTGATAGAAGTGGGTTAACCTCGTTGTCGCAACTTGGTCTTGTTGTCAGGGCGACTATGTAGAACGCACCTAGTCCGAAGTCGT